TTAGCCGAAAATGAAGCTCTTTCTTGAGCCTGTAAGCTTCTGTAGCAGCAAATTCTTCAACCAACGAAGCTTAGTTTTATATAAAATTCAAAGCTCACGCTTTACAGTGTTCTTTCATTGAACCATGCTGACGCTAATTCGTGTTCTTTCTTTTTTATTAAACTTTCTTATCCTTATAAACTAAATATTGCTGTCTTCACCCAATAGCACTTGAGAAATTTAAAATTTCTGCCGTCTGGGCTTATAAGAAATGCTATAGGTCCATCCAGTAAGTACGATTAAACGACGGTTCGCTAAGCATAGCTGTGGAAGTACTGAGCGGAAAAAGAAATAAGTTGGGGAATGGTTTGCCATTCTAAAGAACAGTTCTGAAAAAATTTTGGGTAAAACTAGCTGAAAAATCAAAGAGGAAATTGAAATTGATAAGTCGCGCGACCCTGTATTAGCTAATACGATTCAACAGAAAGACAAGACTGAAACAAAGGAATGTTGGTGCTGGTACTAAATGCCTAAATTTTCTGCACCTAATACCTTGTTCATAAACTTGCTTATTTGTATTTTCTTTTACGGTTTGTGATCAGAAGTAAAATTTGGTATATAATTTATTAGGAATGGTTCTGTCACTTGGTAAAAAAAGGTTCTGGAAGTACTTTCTATATGGGATAAAAGCTGTGTGTATGTCGTTGAAACCAGAGCAATATAATGCTTAACATGTCTTTTAATTTTCCTGGTAAATTAGCAAACTGTTCGCGTTGTTAAAAGTTATTTTATGTACAAACGGCATAGTATATTTTATCTAATACCTTACAGTCTAAATCTTTTTCTCTTTTTTGAAATCTTAATTATTTTGCACCGGTTGTATCTTTTTTTTTTTTTGCTAGTATTTATTCGTAAATTTTCTACAATTCTTTTTTCTTTACTATATATAAATTTTGATAAGTATGCTGTTTACTTTTAGATGGTACCGAGTTTACATTAAGTTTTAATGATAAAAATCTATGTTTGGCAGCAAAAGAAGTAATTACAATTTTCAGGAAAGTAAAAATAAGACTCTATTTGGAGAAATATTTTACAGTACGTCGAGTACAGTAATACTTTTAGATCGAGATACAAATTATAATAAGTATCTTTGAACACTGTTACGTAAGGTTACTTTTAATTATGTGTAAATCTGTTAATTAAAACAGTTTCAAATAAAACTTTTGATTCTTTCTTTTTTTGGAACGTGACTGTTTGCTCAACAACTGTAAACAAATAAACCTTCTACAAGTTTTTGACAAACAGGTGTAAATTACTTTTAACATCACAGAAAATTTTTGCTTATGTAAATCAACATTTTTATTTAATGTTTCTTTTATTCAAACGTCTGCAGTATGTTTGCTCAACGATTGTTACAGACGATGAATCAATTCTTTTGCTTTTTTTTTCATACCACACTTTCTTCTTGGAGTGCGATAACGGCATGTATCATTGATTCTCACTTCCTAACTTAGCAGGACTGAACTCAAGCCCTTACACCAGAAATCTAAAAAATGCTTATTTTTTTTTTTGAAATAAAGGCCGAAAAGTACGATTCTCAGCAGCAGATTATATTTTGTGCTCATAAAATGGCTGTTCAGCGGTGTCAACGACCAGATTTTTTAAGTTGCCAAATACAAACAACACTTTCAATTCATCGGCAGTCACCAGCAGTATGTCAGTTACGTACACACGGTTAAGTACATCGCCCTCCTCTCAAAAAGACATTTCTCAATTCGCTTCAACTTTCAGCAGCAACACAAATCCGCAGAAACAATGCAAAAAAATGCAAAGATTTAGCAAAAATTGATGTGTGTCAACTGTCCAGCAGTTTATGTGCAATACAATGTATAGAGTGCTTATCCTTCAGTGTACATGTATTACAGAAAAGAAAAAATAAAAAAAATTTTGCTCAATAATCAAATTAATCTTAATAAAAGCTTTGAGCAAGTAAAAATTGAAATTTTTAATAAAATTATTGAAAGCTTGAACAGACAAAGAAAGACTGAAACGGTAGAAGCAACAATAAATCAATATTGCTAACTTATTGCGACTGATATTAACTGCATTCCATCATTCTCAACAATCAGACATAGTAAACCTCCTTGCATATGACAAATGTTAAAACTCGTTGAATTCAGACAACAACTTATGATTTGTTTTTCAAATAATTTTTTAGACACGGTACAAAGTCCACAGTAGTAGGAATCTTATCGGTACCTACGATCAACTATGTACATACCTGAGTAAATTTGTTTTTTTTTTGAAAGAGCTCTGTTAATATGGAGATAAAATAAATATCTTTTTCTTTGTCGCATAAGTCACAAGAGAAATTTCAGAGAAAAACATGATCATCTGCTTGAAAGAACGTTTCATTATCAAAAGCTAATTTGTTTTTTAGTGTGATTAAATTTAGTTTTGAGACAACGGCATTTTTTTGTAAGGAGAATGTTGCTGCCTTAATCTGTAATCTTTGAACTTTGAAGTACAGCATGATAGTTATTTAAAATGACATATTTGAAGCCGCACCAAAAAATACAATTATCATAATTACAACTAAAGATAACTTCTTTGAAGGTGTCTTATTACACAAAGCGCTTAGTTCACCTAAACAATTTAGGTCGAGAACGTCAAGCCGTCGAATAAAGTTTACTGTTATTTCACACATTCCATGGGCTATTTGAGGTCCACAGTACCACTGATACGCATTGCGAACACACTGAACGTTCACAGAACCGCTTCTAAAAAATACTTCACATTTAGTAGCTCTTTTCTCAAAACTTTTCTCAGTTTACTTTGAGCACGAAATTATTCATTTGTCTACTTTAAGTTTATTTTGTTTTATTCTTTACATTGATAAATAGGCACTGTTGAGGAAAGTGAAAAAAAAAAAGTTCTCTGCAAACTAACTCGCAAACGTCAATTGGATTTGCTGCATCAATTAAGAGCTGACAGTGCGCAACCCGTTGCCGCAATGATATATCGTTAACTGATCGAAGGAAACACTCTTCATTGTTTACAAACTCTAAATGATAAATGGAACGTTCTACTGAGAAAAAATCGTATTTTATCAATCAATTACAGCTAATACTTGCAGTCTCAGACAAAACTTAAAATTTAAAAGGAGAACACCTGCGATAACTAATGGAGAAGCAAATATGCACCGATAGTTTTACAGAATTAACTGACCCTGATATCCGGTACCACAGATGTATTCAAAAGCAGCGTACATGCTCAAATAGTTGAATGCATCATTGTTATAAAGCGTTAAAGATCGGAATGTTGCTAAATTTATGCATTCTCTTGGTGCCCTTGTATTCAAACAGTTCATCAACGAATTGGTGGGCCTGAAAAAAGCAATTTGTTTGGTCACACTGCAGAATCTGTCGTAAAGTTATTACGAGGTGTATGAGGTAACAGGGCAAAATGCTGTGTCTGTAAACTTCAGTAATTTGCGTCGTACAATTGTTCAATATCCCTTTTTCACCACAGTTAGCGATATCTCATTGTTATTCCAAAGCTGGAATCTAATAGAGTGCTTGATTGTTATATCAAGTCGCAGTAGTTGAGGAAACGTTTTATTTTTTATACACAAAAGGTTTGGTTTTATAAACAAAATAAAACTTTCTCGTATTTACCTAATCGATAAAAGATGCTGTCACAGTACGCACAGAAATGCGCGCTAATCAATCAGAGTTGTTAAAAAACCACTTTTATCACAAGACTGATAAATACTGAAATTTGTATAACAAAGTAGAGCTTACCGACAGACATCATAAAACGATGTCATCGAAGTCACTTGCAAAAAGAGTGAATACGGTGGCAACATGTTCATCGGACCTAGCTCAAGATTGAAAGATTCCAAAAATATAGCATAACACGAACGAATTACCTAAACTAAAAAAAACTGAAACAATTTTAAGCGTAAACAACACTAAGTGTTAACTGTTGTCGGAAATAAAAACGAAGATACATTTCAAACATGATATGTTGCATATCTTCTATTGTTTTATGTAAATTAGAAAATTAGTGATTTATGTGTTCTTACGGTTAAAGAAAATAAAACATTTTAGTGTGTTTTAGAACTTTTCGTTCATGTATTTTGAAAAAGCATCTGAAAAATAATGTTTGTAAAAATTTGAAAAATTGACTGTACAATAGCTGAAAAAAAGTGAATTTAAGTTTGTAGTTACAATTAGGTAGCTTTCAATGAAATGACCTTGAAACAGTTTTTAACATGTTCAGTTTTTTAAAATTGTTATAATATTTTATGACGTTTGCTTTCCTTTTAAGAATAGAAATAAGAAAATATTGTTTGAAAGTGTATTTTGCAAAGGCAATATAATGAAATTTAAAGAACTGTACGTGATAATATTAAAACTTCTTGGGTTGAACAACCTGTGGATGAATGGTTGAGTACAGAAGAAACAGTAAGCTATATAAGAAAGCTGAGATTTTCAGAACGGTAGCAAAAAAAAAAGTAAAAATTTTTTTGTAAATTTATATACCATTAAGTATTGCTTTGATAGAGCTAATTTAGTTGATTAATTTACAAGACCAGGACATTCGAAACTAGCAGATTAGGTCTACAAAAACAAAAAAGTTGTGGTAGACCTATGGTACACTTTTCAAGAAGGCTGTCAGCTTTACTTAACAGGACACTTTAGTAGAAGATTCAAAGTGCCTAAAACATATGCTAGTTCTCAACTGCTTGTTCCTATTCGTTTTAGAAGGTCTTTAATGAATCATTTAGCTTTTAAGATTTAGCAGGTTAAAAATGAAGTAAAAACTAAAATGTATGACCTTGCTTTTTGTATTTTAAATCTTAAACAGTATTTTTGTTGTCAACTAGATTTAGATTATTATTCTAAACTGGTGAAAGCAATTCAAAATTTGTGCAGCTAAGGTTTTTTAAAAAGACAAAATTAGCTGGAAAAACTGTTTGTTTTAAAAAAAAGTAACAATGAAAATACTTAATTTTATGCATTTAAAAGAAAACAAAATTTTAATAGAATTTAAAAAAAAAAAGTTTTAAATGTTAGACAAAAAAAAAAA